GCCCAGGAATGTGAGCGTGAGCGGAGCGGGGCCGGCGTGTTCGCGATGTGAAAAAGATAGAAACATGTTACATACCAAGACATTCTCTCAGGTCCCTCAGCCTACCTTCTCATACTTCATAATACTTCTATGCTACTGTTGGAGCCAAAATTGCCATTCATTGTTCAAAGCACACACCACAATCTCAATATTCTCTATGGAATCTAGGGCTGACCCCCCCGTAGGGGGGGACCATGCAACGTTTTATGGGGCACGTGGACCCCCCTGATTTCATAGAGGAAATGGTCACGGGTATGTGTATACTGTACACAGTATATAAACACATATCCAAGCAAATAATGGAGTTGATACAAGCGCTTCTATAACCAACTTGCCGGGCCCATGGTGGAGTGGGGAACTGAACCCTCCTCTTTGTTGATCGCCACTTTGATTGCCACTCTGCTCTGCTCACAGAGTCTGCAGATGAAAGATGTGATGTCCTACAGCTGGGCGCTCGCTCGCCGCCCAGCTGTAGAACACCAGCTGTTTGAAACGTCCGAGATGACCAGCTGGTCAGGCTGTCTCTTCAACATCCACACCAGGTGAGACCACCGAAGAGTTTCTGTTCCATTTGGGGGCCGAAGACTTGACTGGTTGAAAAGGTTCAATGATTCGACCAGTCTCAACATAACTGGCATCAAACTATATAGATCTGCAAGGATCCCAAAAATGTTGGATGGTTTTGAGCGGATTTTGCATTTCCCCTTCCGAGAAATTGTTGAAGTCCCGACCCTGAAAATCAGGGACCAATCCACCAAAAGCAAGCAGGAATCCGTCTTTGAGAGGCGTTTAAGCCCAGAGCTGTCTCAGGTGGGAGATGTATCCGATCGATCCTACAAAGAACCCGTTTTCCAAGCGGCCAAGTTCACTGAGATGTAACCGGCTGTCTGATTCACGCTGGAATCCTCGGCCGTCTCAAATCGGTGTCCGGGTCCGGTGTGGCCAACTCCAGGAAATGCAGGGTGTGTGGCCCAAACGGGAAAAGCTTGTAAGCCAGTGGCCCTCGAAATGCTGAAATATCCCAAAAAAACAAGGTGAAAACATGAAACCCAGTAGAAGACATGGTGTGACCCGACCAACATCCGCGTGGTCGACCAACATCCGCGTGCTCCACCGGGCTCCCCACGCAGAGCGTTGGATGGGTGAATCCATCGGTGGCACTCGCCTGGCGCTGGAGACATGCTGGCACGGCCAGTGAAGACGTCCTGGGTCGGAGGATAGTGATGAGCGTTCATCCTCTATCGGTATACTTAAATATATATATATATATATAATTGGCCCTGCGATGTTGAGAAACCAGTGGTTTGTCAAAGGCTTCTTTGCGAAATCCTTTGGAGTGTAGCAGGGGCCTCTCCATGCAGCCTTTGGAGAAAAAAACATTCCAGGCATTTGCTTCAGTGTCACATTGGCACCTCATGCATAGATGTTTTGATCCATGGTGCCGCAGGCCATATTCAACCGAATTGTGCTCACAACCTGCTAGGCTGAACCAGCCAGCCCTTCCCTTTCAAATGACGCTGCCTTCCCATCCTGCTCCTTCTTGGTGTGTTTTGCTGAAACATGAAAAGAAAAAACTGAACTGTTGTCCTCACAGAACGAAAACCTAGGCAACACTCACTAAACAACACTGCTCACACAAGTCACTTGTTTGGTCACAGGGAGCAGTCTCTTCGACAACAGCGTGAACACTGTTTTCCGAGAGAGAACAGGAATGGGTGCGCGTGCGAAGTTAGATCCCAAAAAAGCAGAACTCCGGGAAGAAAGAAAAAAACTTCTAAACGGACCAAACAAGGCATGTTGCCTTCGTGGAACAACAATGACTTCGACCGTCCCATTGGACGCTTCCTTCGTCCAACACGTTGCCGCCTGGCCTCCTCTTGCACTGCTTCGGCCGCCTCCCGGATTGGATCTCGTGTCGGACACTGGACCCTCAGTGGGTTGTTTTGGGGTCCGTTGGGTTGTCAGATACGGCGCTCAGGTCGCCTGAAAAAGACACACCGGAGAAAGTTCCTACAGAGCCTACATACACACTACATACACAAGCTCTTTGCGTTTCGGAGGAGCACGTGCTTCCTCATTCCCTTGACCTTCGAGGTGGAAAGGTACCTGTTTTCCCCATGGTACTGTCTGAAACTGACGAGTGCGTCGAAATCCTGAACTAACTACAAGGAGTGGTGAAGTTCCTATTTTAAGTGAAACATCTGCTCGTCGCTTCTGCACCTTGGCCAACTCCTCCAATGTGGAACGATTCCCAAACAGCAGTTGGGCGTGCGCCGCCCACGGCAGCAGGGCGAGGAAAAGCCATTGGACCGCCATGATGACCAAGTCACAAATGACGTTTCGGAGCCAAGGCCTTAAAACTCTTGAACCCCAAAGCGTGCGCAGGATGCGAATTCCATCACACCAAAGTCTGCTAAGGTATAGCAAGGGTCTGGGCTTGTGCCATCTGGATGATGCCAGCACATTGTCTACCTTCGCGCATCATCTAGGCATGGTAGTTGTGTGCAATCCTGAAAAATCGGAGAATGAATCAGTCCTTAGCGATGGCCTCCAACCTACTTGCGATGGCCTCCAACCTAGTAGTTAGTAGTAGCGATGGCCTCCAACCTACTAGTGAACTTGTGATGCCCTCCTTTTTGCCCATCCCATCTCAGCAAATCAACCTGGCTGGCACTTTGTGCTGCCGTAAGATTCTGCACGACAAACTCCCCTCGCATCTGATGCGGCCAAACAGCAACGATCACATCGTTTTTCCGGGCGGTCCAAATCCGAAAGTCAACACGACCGAAAGTGTCTCATGCTGCAGGGTATGTCGAAGCTGCATGAAGCACGAAGCTCAAAAGGGTATTTAAAGCATGCGTTTTAGCCTGATATACTGTTTCCCCACACTGTCTGCTTGGCCAAAATGTCTGAATTTTATTTGCCAGAACTGTCCATTGTCAAACAGAGAATGTGCAAAATGTTCAATCTGTCAAGGGGCTCTGGAAAATCAACCATCACTGAACGTGCCAAAAAAATTGCCTCCAGGCTTTTCTTCGGACCCTGGCAAGGATCAATGAAGGACCAACATTGGAACAGAAACACGTGAAATTGCAGCGGGTGATTGGATAAGGCATGGCTTAAGCATTCAAGTGCCAAAACCAAACAGCTGGTGGAGCATTCTGTGCCCGGTCTCAGATAGTTTCAGCTCAACTTATCGCACTCCCACGACCAAAAACCCTCAGAACTCCGAAAGAGCCTGGAAAGAAATCTGAAAGAATACCAGCTCACTGCTCCAAGAATACCCCCCGGAGGCGGTTGAAATGATCGGGCTGAAGATTGGCTGGCACCGAGCTGCAAGCAGCACATGCGCTACCCTTGGAGGCCACCCTGCTTTGCTCAATATGCACCCGCGACCTGGGCGCGGGACCGTGCGACCGTGTTGTTTCGACGGTCGCGGGGGTCGGGACAAAGGCGTTCACTGGATGAATGTGACGCTTCAGAAAGTTAAAGATAGGAATCTCAAATCTCTGTGTCTATCATTCTGACGGGTGGGCTGCACGGCTTCTCTGAATGCACCCGCACTGATTTGAATCACAGATAAAAAAGGAGGCGTGTCACAAGAAAGGCAAGGAGGCGATAGAAAAACCCAACACCACTTCCTGATACTGCAGGTCCATCTTCGGTCAGAATTGTCTGGATCAAAGGCACTAGGGCTCTGGCAGGCACTGTGAGAACTCCACGAAGTGGTGAGATGTCTTCAGATTGCTGAAAGAATGGGAGGGGCTGGCCAGCTGGAAGCTGGAAGCTGTACATCTAGCTAGTCCCCCGGTGATGCGACGAATTATTGTTGCCTGGACTTCCTGGTGTCATTTGCTTCGTCGATTTCACTTTCGTTCCTCGGGAAGTCCAGCCAAAAGCGGCTACCAGACATGTCCACCCTTTTGAGCATCGATGGTGATCGACGGTCATGTCCCACATGTGAATGGAATGGATTTGTACATTGAATGAGATGAGTGAGATGAGTCTAAGTGTGGGTCATCACTTGAGAGAGGTCTTCCTAGCGTGGTTTTGGGCATCAATCGCCTTGATGCACCACCAGATTAGCACTTTGTGTTGAAGGCAAATAACATCCATTTCAGCTCAAACGAAGTCAAGGATTTGCATCACACCAGGGTGAGGAAAAGATGTCCTCCCCAAACCTCCATCGGTTATGGGGATTCACATGGGTGGATGCCTGTTAGCCACCTGTGCTGGTCAAAGCCAGCCTACGATGAAAACACCAAGCCAAGTACCCAGTCAAACGGGTCTTCCAGTGATCCGCGGCATGGTCGCCAAAACTGCAAACAAATCATATATATATTATATATGCAAACAACATCGGATCTGACAAGCCACAGCCAAATCCGCAGGCTGTCCACACACTCACGTCCAACTACTTGGGCACTCACCACATCCTCTCGCAAACATTTCAGCCAGGGCCGCCGGCCGCGGCGGCACCCGCAGAATGCGAGGTGCCCGCAGCCGCCGAGAACCGTCGAGGACTAAAGACTGCTCTGGGCCGTCCACAGCTCTCTACAGCACCACAAGACAAAGATCGGTACTCAGGGGACGAACACAGCCCTGGCTTCGGAGCTAAGCAACTATTCTCAATACTTCGCATCCCAGACTCTGGGCAATGATATGCGACGCATCTTCACCAGCTTGAGTCCCAGCCTTAATTTGGTTTGGAACCCCACATGCAGCTATATCGTTGCCTGATGAAGAAACATGAGAACGGAACCAACGGGACAACACAACAGGAATGGACGGGACCATATATGGCCTGGCATATAGGCCTTGTATGTTCTGCAAATAACTCTGGAGTTCAGGGAAACTTCGTGTGCTTTTGATTCTTTAAGACAGCTTTCAAAGCGGGGAGTCATCGACTTCAAAACGTCTGTGGTCCTGCTTTGGTCCATGCCATGGATGTAAAACCCATATGCCATGTCCATCATTGCCCAGATGACCTGCTCATGCCCTGACCAGGACTGGCCACCAGTGTCTTCGGTCTTCGTCACCAGACCGGGCACCACCAGTGCCCGGGCATGTCAAAAAGGCCAGCCTCGGTCGGGGGCTTGGCAAGGAGGTGCGCAGGAAGTGACCACACCTGGTGACATCTGCCAGTCATCAAGGAAGTGACATCAACTTGACCTGAACTGCAATGACCGAGCATCTAATTACTCTAGCGGGTTGAACCCAGTGACACTGTTGGAGCCATATTCGTGAGTTGGATTGGTTGATCCGATAAACGAAGAGGATCAAAACACTCACTTGATCTAGGGCCGACCTGTATTCAACATGTGAAGCTGGTATCGGTATAGCAATTACTGCCGATATCTGCCGATTACAAAAACGGATTAATGCATCGATCTTCAAAAAGCACAACATGCCCACGTGATTGAGAACAACCACCTTCCATCTGTGTCACACAAGACCTCACAAGACAGAGCCTGCTCAACACAAGACCTCCATCTCAGGCTTCGGCTTCGGCCTCACTGCCCGGTGAACCAGTTGGGAATCGCCGTGTGCTGTTCGAAGACCGCACGTGCCTGCCGCACGTGGACACGTGGATACCAGTTTGGCACATGGATACCACACCAAACTTCACTGGAGCCACCGCTACCCGATGTTTTCTCTAAAGAGCTTTGTGGAATACAATCTGAACTGTGTCATTGGACACCGCTACATTTTTTGTTGAGAAAACCAAACTGATATGGACGTGGACTGGATGATATCTGCAGCAAACTCTTTAGGTGTGAAAGGCCCTGACATAGGTCACTGGACTGTCCATGTTATTCAACCGACACTGGTGCTGTTCACTGGTCCCCCCACCCCAGATTCTGCACAGGTCCAGAACTGGGATGAACTGGGATGGCAAAACGATCGGCCCCGAGGGGCCGATCAGCATGTGCTTGACACATGCCGTCGGGCGGGAATTGACCGAAATATCCCCCCGCCACCGGCCGAGACCAGCGAGCTTCGGGATTGGGGAGGCGCTTCTGAGTGGCGTCCGGGGGGTGATCACATGTGTACAGTTGCACGAGTGCCTCTTCTGCATGCAAGGAGGCTGGGCACAGGAGGTAGCTGACTTGAACCCGTTCGGCGACGTAGTGGACAGTGGCCGTTACATGTCTGCTAAACGGCTTGAATTGGCTGTCTAGTTGCATCGGGCCTTTAGCGCGTCTTTAGGTGTCGTACCTTCAGCCCTTTTAAGACGGGGGGGCCCTCGTGGCTGATTCCTAGTTTCTTCTAGATGACTCCGTTGCCTGGTATTGTAGCCTCGTTAGTTGCTGCTTGCACATACGCCTCTGATTCTTCAGGTTAGGTAGGTTGGCTTGTACAGTTCTGTGTGTGTGTCGGGGGGGGGGGGGCAATTCGTTGCCAATGTTGACACGATCTTGCATGCCCCGTGCTCGGGTGCGGAAGACCTCCCCCTTGTGGAAGAATGTACTACTACAAAGATGGACTGATGATGACTGATGGATATGATGACCCTTCCTGGAACAATCATGGGAAGTGGATTGCATGGCCCCTGGCAAAACCATCTTCCTCTACAAACAGGGAGGGTGTCCACCTACATGTTTGTTCCAGGGAGGGTACAAATTGGGACCAAACCAGCGGAGAGCCCGTCGCTCGTCCAGCAGCGCGCGCGAGCTCGCTCATCGCCTGCTGCACTAAGCCGCACGGGATCATCCCACGGTCACCCATGGCAAACCATCCTCAGACCAGTTGGGAAAAAAATCGAAGATGATGGTTCCAGCTTCCCCCGGTTTTTCCTTCCTTTCGTCCCCGCGTTCCGCGTCCGAGTTCGGTCAGTTTGGACAATCGGAAGGTGCAGTTGGGCGAATTTACAAAAATAGGGTGCAAGGGCTATGTATGTACTGTATATTAAATATACAGTAGTATAGTGAGACTGATTGATTCATATGACGTCTGCAACGCACCCAGCACACTCAAAAAACGGATCCATCCCAAACTATCGAACATGGAGTTCTATGAGGACACATTCCGGTCGTCGCGTGCAAGTTGGTCCCAGCGAAAAGCTCGGCCGTATGGTCCCAGCAGCCCATTGGAACCAGCGTGATGGCTTGGCTGACCTCGGCAACCCCCTTGGAACCCTCAAAACCCGTCGCGGTTTCACCCGGAAAATTTATGGTGGCAAAAACTCCACGAAATGGACAACAGCAACTGCCTGGGAGGTTTTCATTCATTTCCCAAAACACCGAAACTCCGGAGTTTTGGTTGTCCGAACACGAGGATCGGATGATGGGTCAACCTCCATTTGGGCTTGGCAACCTCAACCATCCCGCATATCGTTTTGCTTTTAATCTTCCAGCTGTCCAGTGTTCACCAAGGGAAAGTCGAACCCCGGTCAGTCGAACAGCAGTCGACAGGGTGGAGGGAGTCGAGTGACATGACGACATCACCGTCTCTCGCCAGGTATTTCTGGAGGATTTGAGTGGATGTGTAGTGCCAGGACTACCGACCGACAGATGATGATCAAAACATGTCAAACAGATGACGGCTGGAAGGCCAAAGACCTTACTTGAGGCCAGGGGGAGGAGGTCGAAAGCTAGCCGAATCGCACCGGATGTGCTATTTACATAGTCGGCAAAGCATATAGTGTTTACATGTTTTGGGAGAAAGGTTGCTATGTACATAGTTTGTGCTAAAGAATGTAAATGTGACATCGCCGACTGGGAAGGGTACATTGGAACAACCCGGGTGCACTCGTTGGCAGGCACGAAGATGCGTGATCGGCAAATCTGGGGGGTAAATTTACCCTCCGCTTATGTATGCCTTGAGTCGGAAGGAGGGGTAAGCATTTCTGGCATCACAACGACTGTACATACACTAGGGCGTCCGTAGTGTAGGATAAGCACTGGTGGAAGGTAGAAGGAATAGATGGTTATAGCAAATCTGGTGGGTAAATTTACCCCCGGTTATGCACGCATTGGGTTAGGCTGATTCGCCGAGCTGCGATGTTCTTTGACAAAACAAGTTGGACCCGACCAATGGAGCGAAAGCGAAGCAACCACCGTCAACTGTCTCGCAGGAAAAAACGTTGTTCATGCATTTTGCAAAATACAGAATAGAGATGACTCAGCCGCGTAGTAAAGTTGTACTACAAAGTCGCCAGTTCTCATCTTCCAGCTCCCAGCTACTCCGCGCACTAAAGTTGTAGCTACAAAGTCGCCAGTTCTCATCTTCCAGCTCCACAGATTGCTCCGCGTACTAAAGTTTCACTATTACAAAGTCACCAGTTCTCATCTTCCAGCTCCCCAGGGACTCCGTGCACTAAGGTTGTACTACAAAGTTGCCAGTTCTCAGCTTCCAGCTCCCCAGATACTCTGCGTACTAGAGTTGTACTACAAAGTCGCCAGTTCTCATCTTCCAGCTCCACAGGTAACTCTGCATGCTACAGTTGTACTACAAAGTCGCCAGTTCTCAGCTTCCAGCTCCACAGATTGCTCCGCGTACTAAAGTTGTACTACAAAGTCGCCAGTTCTCAGCTTCCAGCTCCCCAGGTTCCTCCGCGTACTACAGTTGTACTAGAAAGTCGTCAGTTCTCATCTTCCAGCTCCCCAGATTCTCCGCGTACTAAAGTTGCACTAGAAAGTCGCCAGTTCTCATCTTCCAGCTCCCCAGATACTCCGCGTACTCAAGTTGTACTACAAAGTCGCCAGTTCTCAGCTTCCAGCTCCACAGATTGCGCCGCGTACTAAAGTTGTACTACAATGGCAAAGTTGCCAGTTCTCATCTTCCAGCTCCGCACATACTCCGCGTACTGAAGTTGCACTACAACTACAAAGTCGCCAGTTCTCAGCCTCCAGCTCCCCAGCCTACTCCGCGTACTAAAGTTGAACTACAAAGTCGCCAGTTCTCAGGCTGCAGGACACAAAGTGCTGCGCCTGCCATGAAATCTGCACCTGGAGGTTCACAAAGTGCTGCGC